GTCTCACAATGCCTACATTGCACAAATAGGAGGCCAGTGGTGAGGCCACGCCCTGGGCCTGCCCTGCACCACATGTGCAGCCCCTCAGCCGTAGACCAACTCCACAGAGGGGACGGGTAATTCCAGGCACATTTTCAGGGTTCTGAGGAGGAGGCCAGAAGGCCAGTTAACCTGGGCCACTGGCACTGGACATCACATTCAGCCCTGCCAACACCCAGGACTGCTGAAACAGGCTCTGGGAGAGGCAGACCCCAGTTTAGGAGGAATGTTCTCTTCACGATCTTGACTCTAGGCTTTCATTGAAACCTCAGGTATCCTGCATGCAAACTTCACTTCATTTGTGTGGAATTGTGTCATCAGACAGTAGAAACATCCTCCCGCTCCATGCTGCTGAGCAGTGACCATGGCCCTCGCTGTTGCCCCAGGAACCATTGCTAAATGATTCAAGATAGACCAGATAGACCAAGAGGAGGGATGAGATTGAGCTCCCAACCATGGAATTGAGTAAGAACCATCCAAAGGTTTTATCTATTAGAGGCTGGGATTGGTGAGGGAAGAGGTGGGATGGGTAGATCTGGCTGGGATGACCTCATGTGAATGATTGTCTTTCTCTGGCTGAGCCCTGAGGTGCACTCCGCTAAAAACAGTAGCTTCCCCAATAGGAGGAAGAGAAATTATTGCACCAGACCAGGCTTGGCTGGGCTGTATCCCCAGCTGCCAGAATCTCTTTATTCACCCTAGAGAGGTGAATGCTAGAGGTTAACATTGGCAGAGGGAAAGGGAGCCTGCTTGTTCCATATCAGGGAGACTGTTCATCAGAACAAGGGTGCTGGATTGGTAGGGAGTTGTAGTGGGAGGTAGAAGGGTAGGGACCAAATCAAGAGGTAAGGGTGGGTGTACTATGGACAGCCTCGCTATCAGCTTTACTTCCCCAAGCAGAGGGAAAACCAGTCGATTTGGAGAAACTAGCCACAGTAGGAGCTGCTGTGAGAAGGCCAGAGCCCAACAACAAGGCCCATCTGTCCAGGACTGAGATCCTGAGGAGGAGAGGTGGGGCCGTGGGAAGGAGCAGGTGCAGGATGTGGATGAGGGTGGGTTCTGGATGCCTTGGCTGGAGGTGGTTGGAGGAGGACCTGGGGGCTTGGCAGGCTGCACATGGGAGGCATTGAGATGCTATTGGCTGGCTTGAGTCAGGGGTGTCTGTGGGCTTCTGGGAGCCAGTCCAGGAAGCAGCTGGAAAGGCGGGTTTTACAGATGAGGAACCAGAAGGTCAGAGGGTTGTTTTTTTCCAGTCTTCCTGAGGCCGGAAAAAGCCCATTTCAGGATCTGAACGTAGGTCTGAGGAGTTCACTGAGGTGTAGCACTTTGTCTATTATTTGGAGCCTTGATTCTGGATGTGGCTGACTTGACCCAGGATTCAGGTTCTTCTAGAGGGGACGTTGCAGACAACCCCTTGTTACCAGGCCCAGTAAGCCTAGAACACTGTAGCAGAATCTTCAGGCCCAGACTTTTGCTCTGTAGAGGGTCACTCTCACAATCCCCAGCCTTCTAGTCTGACACACAAGGGCTTTCCCACGAGCTGCCTGGAGCTGCAGGAGTCCTTAAAGGACTAGTTTCTGTCTTCACTCATGGGCTCCTCTAGGAGAGTGCGATCACCTCTGTTTCTATTTACAGATGAAAAGATCAATGGAGGCCGACAGACATATAGGGCTTGACCCCTTCCTTCACTGGAGGTTGGGGGTGAGGTCAGGATCCAGCCCCTCAGTGGGGCAGTTGTGTGTCCTAGACTGGTGGTTCTCTGAACCACCACTCTCACAGGACCTGACTTCAGGCCTGCAGCTCCAGCTCCCAGGACTTCCTGCCTCTGCCCAGCGCTTCCCTCCTCTTGGCCAGCTCCCTGGGGAACAGCCAGGACCACCCCACCCCCTCCCGGGCTGTGCTCCTGGCAGCTCTGCCACCCTGGGCTCTGGTCCGGGGGTGGTCCCTGGCGGAGAGGGAGGCAGGCAGAAGTGGGGAATTGGTGAGGCTGAGATGCAGGGCATCCGGAGACCCCAAAGCCCCCACCTCCTGGCTCATTGTGCTCCAAGCTGGGTGGGCAGAGCTTTTTGGAAAGGGGTAGCTTGAGGTTTTAATCACTTTATCAATGTTTGTTTGTGTAATTCAACCCCGAGATGCTTTTCCCTCCATCTGTCCCCACCATCTGCTCCCATCAGGATTTTCCAAACCGTTTGGGACCCAAGAGGCATAGGGGGGTGTGGGAGGGTCTGGGCCTCTGACACCTCTACCCTCCTCACTGCAACTCCAGAGAGGGGCCCCAGAGCTCTGGAGTCACACAGAACGGGGTTCAAGTTCACTTTAGTGCTGCATACTTCTGGAAGGGGATTTCAGTTCCCTGAGCCTCAGTCTCTGTACCTGTAAAATGGCAGCAATATTGGCCATTACTTAGGGGCACTGAGCATCACATAGGTGACCCATATAGAGTGCTCTGACCCATATAGATGCTCAAGAGATGGAGTTCCTCTTTCTTTGTTTCCTACATACCAAAAGCTGCTCCTGCCCTTGTCTTTGGTGGTAGAGCTACCTGGCCACCTCTGATCCCCTCACTTCACTTTTCCAATCCTGGGACCTGCTTGCTGTCTGTCCCATGGACCCTGCTTGATGCTCTGTTCTACCAATTTCTTGCCTCTACTTCTGTGCCTCCTGCCTTCCTCCTGGGAGGTGACAGGGCCTTGGCAGCAAGGGTATTCCTGCCCCACCACGTACACACAAGGGGTCTTCAAAGGAGACAGATATGTGGGCTCTGTGCTCTCCAGTTATGCTCACACTTGCTTCAGGTCATCAAGGACTAAGGGGTCTAGGCCTTCTGAGCTTTTCTGAGCTATACAAAGAAGTAAGACTTAGAACCCTGGCCTGGCTCAGGGGGCCTTCCAGTGCTTCTAGAGTCCCTGGATGGGTAGAGATGACTGACAGCAGCAGGGCTGAGCTCTACCTCTGGATATCCTCTATGCATTGTAAATGCAGGGCTGAGGCACCAGGATGAGGAGAGGCATGCTACTACCTTCAGAACCCCCTGTCTACTGTGGAGAAGGACACAGATCTAGAGTCCTGAGGGCAGGACCCAGAATCACCCTTACTGAGAAGACTAGCAATGGAGCCAGCTGAGTCAAGGAGCCAACCTTGACTGGAAGGACTGCCCCTCCTACCCACCCAGGATGGAGAGAAGGATCCAGACTAGGCTGGGAAGATTCCAGCTTCAGGCAGGAAGAGAGAATCATGGGAGCAGTAGAGGCAGAGGGAGGGAATGCAGGCTCCTCCTCCTGTTCCAAGCAAGGAAGGCCCTTGAGGGCAACCAGGAGGAGGTTGTCACTAGAGGGGCCTGAGGTGGGGGCTGAGGAAACTCTCTGCTCCCCCTTCCCAGGTCCTTAGGCAGGAGGCAGCTGGGAACCACCCACATGCGTCTGGTGTCTTTCACGCCTCCACTGGGGGTCCCAACACCAGAGCCAAGGCACACAGTGGAGCCCATGTTCATGTTCCGGAGGGCCCAGCTGTCCCAACCCCACCCATCTGGCTCCCCAGCTCCTCCAATGGAGACCTCCCCCTAAGTCTAGACGGATGGCTCAGGAGGCTTGGTGTGGGGACCTCAAAGGGGAACTTTAGACAAAGCTCCAGGGAGCCAGGAGGGCCTGAGCCACAGGCCTGAGCGTGGGATGGGGAAGGGCTGGCTAGAGGTGGCACAGGGTGTCAGCTTCACCTTTCCAAGGATGTCAGGAAAGCAGATCCATCCTGCCACCCAAGATCCTGCCACCAACGTGATCCCCACTTGCCTTCCACTACCCCATCTTCATACAATGGCTGCAGGAGCAGTTGCTCAGAAGTCAGACCCTCTCTCATTCTCCTCAAACCCAAGGACTTCTTGTCCTACCTGAAACATGAACGGAAGGCCTTGGCATAGTCCCCATAGCTCTAGATCTGCCACCATACTGTTTCCCATGACTTACCTGATATACCACAGAACTGACTTGTATGTGACTGCGCCCATGGTTTCTTACGCATGCCTGCGACCTCACTGCCCAGAACAGTGCTGGATGCAGGACCAGGACTTGCTCAATGTGGGAATGAAAGAAAGAATGAACGCAGGCACATGGATTCAAGTGTGAGCCCTCCATTCCCTTGCTACAGTAGGACACATTGGCAAAGTCATTCAACACCACCCCCCCAGCCTCAGTTTCCTCATCTGTAAAATAGGGCAATTACCGAGACGGAGAAATGACCAAACTGAAGCCAAAGGGTTGTTGCCGGGGTTGGAAGAAGGAGGATGCAGCCCCCATGCCGGCAGCAGGAGGAGCTTTGGTCAGGTCACTCGGGAGAGCACACGGACGCCCCTCAGGGACCCTCATAGCCCCGGGGCAGGGCACAGGCCTGCGCAGGCAGAGCCTGGGCTGAGGAGGGGTTTTCCGCGGAGGGGAAGAGCGGTGTGCACGGGAGGTGGGAGGCGGGGTGGATTCTAAGAAGGTGGGGGTGAGGTGGAGAGGAGGGGCCGGGGAGGGGGCAGGGGGCGTGTCTGCCCTCCCCCGAGGGCTCGAGACTGAAGGAATGCGCACCCCTTGCTCCCCAAAGAGCTCTGCAGGTTCCTGAGTTGAGGTTGGGGGCGCGGGGCGGGGTGGGGGGACAGGGAGGGCGCCCATCGCCTCCACACCCAGGACCCGGATTCCGCTCGGAGCGGAGCGACGACGTGCGGCCCTGCGTCCAGGTAGGGGTGGGGAGGACGCGGGATGGTCTCTGGGCACTGACCCGCCCTCCATTCAGGCTCAGCTGCCCAGGAAGGGGGGGGGTCCCAGCCTTCCTCCTCGGCGGGATGACCCCTCCCGAGGGGGCGCGGGGAAGTGAGGGCGCCCCCTCGCCCTCCCGGCGGGGGCGGGGCGGAGCCACCCCGGGTTGGAGGGTCCCCCCCAGGGGAGGGGCTCGGGGCGGGCGCCGCGGGGCGGCTCCCTCGCAGTCCCGCCCGCCCCCCAGCCGCCTCTGCCGCCGCGCGCCGCAGCAGCGCCGCCTTCCCTGCGCAGTCGGTGTCTCGGCGTCGCTGGGTGAGTGGGGGCTGCTGGGGCAGGGGCCGGGGGGGGGCGCGGGGAGGGAGCCCCGGAGCCCCGGGGCCGCGTCCGGGGCTCTCCGATCCCTGGGGTCCCCGCGGGAGTCCTCCCTCCGCGGGCGGGCGCGGGGAGCGGGCGCCCCTGGGGACGCGCGGCGCTCTCCAGGGTCCTGAACGCCTGCGAGCCCCGCGTTTCGGCCGCCCCGGGGCGCCCCCTCCAGGAGGGGACACGCTCCCCCGAGGCCGGGCGGATTGAGGCGGGGGTGGGGGGGTTGGAGAGGGGATCAGGGCGGGTCGCTCAGGTCCGGCTGTGAGGTTCTTCCCATTTGGGGAGCTGGGGAGGTGGGTGTACCCGAAGAAGACAACAGAATCTTCTTCCCTCCGGGAGGGGTCATTCCGAGGGTGGTAGAGAGCAGGGGGGCACGGGGGTAGCTCTCCTGCCCCGCAGATTCCTCTGCCCCCACCCCGGTGACCCAGTTCCTTGGACCTTGAGGAGGGGGGTAAGGGACACACTCCCATGCTCAGCCCTACGCATTTCCTCAGTCCCTTCCCACACACTTGTTCTGTGGGTCCTCAGCCCTGGGGCAAAAGAGGCTGATCTAGAAAGGAGGGGGCACAACTTGGAGAAACATGCCTGTGACACACCGCTGAGGACGCACAGGTCCCCCGCACACTCCCCTGCCTGCTCCTCTTTCCGTGTGACAGGGGCACACCTGGTCACCCGCACCCGAAATGCACATGCACAGACATGGAGGGAACACACCGGGAGACAGGCAGTGCAGAACCAGGGCGCAGCGCCGTGCGTGAGCGCGTGCATCTCAGCCCTCGCCCACCTGCATGTTCATGGAGCTCCCTGCACAGGCGTGCACAGGGAGGGACCCCTTGCCCTGTCTCACTTGCCTTCCCAGTGCGTGCGTGTGTGTGGCAACTGCACACACCCCTACATCCCTGCCTATCACCACCTGGCTGCCTCCCTTGCCTTGCTGCCCACCTTGCCTCCTGTTCCAACTCCTGCCCTGAGGAGACCTTTCAGGACTACTAGGAAGGGTTAATAGGCCAGGGGCTTCCCTGTGAAATGAGCCCCAACAGGTCTGGGAAGGCCTTCAGATCCCTCTCCTGGGACCTAGGAGCATCCCAAGGTGACAGGGAGGGAAGAATGACAAGGGTGCCTCAGGTCCCACGTGCAGCTGGCCGTGTGAGAGGTGTCGACACGCGAGTTGGCATGTGATGGCGTGTGTGAGACGTGGGGTCGTGGGCTGGTGTGCCTTCATGCACAGGGTATAGGAGCTGCGCGTGGTGCCCTGTGTCAGAACGTGAGTTGTGGGGACAAAAGAATGTGGTGTGGAGAGGCATGATGACCCAGGGTGGTGCGAGCTGGTATGTGAGTGGCATGGGACTCCATGCGTGGATTTGGTGTGTGGCCCTGTACATGCATTTGCATATTGTGCTTGATTTGGTGTGGCATCTGGATTACCTTTAAACCATTTTCATTTAGGTTATTAACAGTTATCAATGCAGGCACAGCTCTAAATGCTTCCTGTGTATTAGCTAATTTAATCCCCATGACAATCATGTGAGGTAAGCGCTATTATTACTCCCACTCCCCGGATGAGGAGGAGAGGTTACGGAACTTGCCCAAGGTCACCAGCTTATAAGAGGCAGAGCTGAGCTTCAAACCAGGTGAGAGGGCTCTGTAGCTCAGGTTAGCACCTAGCCAGGGCTGTCCCTTATCAGGCCCATCTGTAGGAGGGCAGGGCAGTGTCTGGTCTGCAGGTATATTTTGTGATCGGCAGGTGTATGGGAGCACTGATTGGGCAGTGGGTAGAGGGCAGGCCAGACGGTCTCTCTGCAAGGTCTTTCTGGTCAACTGTGAGAGTTGGCTTTGTTTTGCAATGGCTGTGCAGGCTTCTCTCTTCTCTGAGCCTGCCTTCTCCTCTGGAAAGTGGGGATAAATCACCTGATGTCCCCTTGGGGAGTTGAGAAGGTGTGTACTCTGGCACCCAGAAAGGTTCAGTAAATGTCAACTCCTTCCCTTCCGCTTTCTCTCTCTCCGGGGTCTCAGTGAGATCAGAGGTGGGGTGCCTGCGTGAGGCTGTGGCCCAGGGCCACTTCCTTTTCTCCTGCTGGGCCAAGGGAGAAGTTGAGGGGCCTGGGGAGGCCTTTCTGGAGTGCTGTCCAGTAAACCACTCCTCTCTGTCCCTTTTGGGGACCCAGGTGGGACTTGGCGGCCATGGGCAAGCAGAACAGCAAGCTGCGGCCCGAGATGCTGCAGGACCTGCGGGAGAACACGGAGTTCTCAGAGCTGGAGCTGCAGGAGTGGTACAAGGGCTTCCTCAAGGACTGCCCAACAGGTATCCTCAACGTGGATGAGTTCAAGAAGATCTACGCCAACTTCTTCCCCTACGGCGACGCCTCCAAGTTTGCTGAGCACGTCTTCCGCACCTTTGACACCAACAGTGATGGCACCATCGACTTTCGGGAGTTCATCATCGCACTCAGCGTGACCTCACGTGGCCGTCTGGAGCAGAAGCTCATGTGGGCCTTCAGCATGTATGACCTGGACGGCAATGGCTACATCAGCAGAGAGGAGATGCTGGAGATTGTGCAGGTGGGCTGGGCCCCTCAGTGCCAGGCATAAGCCTGGCAGCTTCACTCACCACTCTTAGATTCATTCCACCTGGTAGGCCCACAGTGGTAGGTGATATTCCTACCATCTCATAGACAAAATTCCTCAGTAGGAGAGCCAGGTACCTGTCATCCTTGCTACTCAGGAAGCTGAGATCTGGGGATCATGGTTCAAAGCCAGCTCAGGCAGGAAAGTCTGTGAGACTCTTATCTCCAGTTAACCACCAAAAAGCCAGAAGTGGATCTGTGGCTCATATGGTAGAACACTAGCCTTGTGCGTAAAAAGCTAAGGGTCAGTGCCCAAGCTCTGAGTTCAAGCCCCAGAAGCACACACATGTGCACGCACATGCATGCACACACATACAATAATCATTTCCAATTTAAATAGCTAAGAAAACTCCCCTATACCTTGAGCCCAGACTTTGCAGTTAACATTTGGCCCCATTGCTTTATCTTTACGTGCGTGCCAAGCTTTTCTGTGATTCTCAATGAGAAAGATAAAGGATGTATTTCCTAAGAATAAGGACATTCTCTTACATAACCCATAACATGATTATCCAAGTCAGAGCATTTAACATGGAAACAATGCTATTATCTAATCTACAGATCATATTCCAATTTTGCCAACTGTCTTCATGATGTTCTTTATAGTCTTTTTTCCTAGTCTAGGATTATGCTTTGATTTTTTTTTTTTTTTTTTGGTCATTCATGTCTCTTTAGTCTTCTTTAATCTGGAATCATCCCTCAACTTTTCTTTATCTTTCAAGACTTGACATTTCTGTAGAATGCAGGAAAGATGTTTTATTTTTTCCTCCTCAATACTAGAGATTGCACTCAGAGCTTTAGGCTTGCTATACAGGTGCCTTACCACTTGAGTCATACTCCCAGACCCCCAACTTTTTTTTGAAGCAGGTCTTGCTATTCTAGGCTGACCTCAAACTTTCAATCTTCTTACTTCAGCCACCCAAGTGCTGGGATTACATGTGTGGGCCACCATGCCTAAATAAAGCATTTTTTTTTTTTGTACTGGTGACAATTGAACCTAGGACCTGGTCCTGTGAAGTCAAATGTTCTACAACTGGGCTACTTCCCCAATCCATAGTTATGCTTTATTGATCCTAATTTACTCAGAAGAAAATGCTCAGAGAGGTCAAGGCACTTGTTCAAAGTCTCACAGCCAAGCTCCAACACTCCAGACACTCAGTTGCTTTCCCTTAATGAAAGGAATAACCCAAACACTAGGACTGAGTTAGATGTTTATTACCTTGAGTCAGTGAATCCTTTTTTCTTTTTTGGTGGTTCTGGGGTTTGAACTCAGGGCTTCGTGCTGTTAGCTGGTGCTCTATCACTTCAGTCATGCCTCCAGCTCAGTGTACCCTTACCACAACCCTATGAGGCTCAGCGAGTTGGGGCATGACTTGCTTAAAGCCACACAGTACACAGGTAGAGTTAAATTCAGGCTGGCCACCCCTTAGAGCTGCCTCTGTTGACAGGTCTAGATTCCTAGCTAGATTTGGCTTGCTTTAGCTCTTAGATGTCTCCCCAGAAAAATGGGCTCAGTGATGCTGTCCTCATGAGACTTACAGACCTGACAGGAATGCCTTTTTTCTTTCTTTCTGGTTTTGGGCTTGAACTCAGGGCCTGAGGGCTGTCTGAGTTCTTTTCAGCTGGAGGCTAGTGCTCTACCACTTGAAGCCACCGCTCTGCTTCCAGCTTTTTTTTTTTTTTTTTTAAATGAATAATTGAAGAGTCGTACAGACTTTTCTGCCTGTGTTGGCTTGTGTACCTTGATCCTCAGATCTCAACCTCCTGAGTAGCTAGGATTACAAGTGTGAGCTATGGGCATCAGGCTAGGAATGTCCTTTCTTAGCACAAATTTAAGCATGAAACAGATTTGCTTCCAACTAAAAACCTTCCAGAGACCCATCCCCTTCGCTAAGACGGAAGACAGTTAGGACTCTGGTACTATTGCAGCCATTTCTGAATCTTCCCAGCTTTCCCTGCTTGTAAAGCGGGGACCACTGAGGCCCTGCTTTGAAGGGCTACTGCAGGATAAAGCGGGTGATGGTTCTAGCCAAGGTGATGGTTCTACCCTGCCGGTATTCAGTCAATACCAGTGACTGCCAGCCATCATTGCCTCCTCCACACACCCTCTGATCAAGCCAGCATTCCTGAGATGTGCCAGAGTAATCCTGCAAACAGCTTTACTCAACCTCTTGTCCTCTCTCCTTTCTGCATCTCCAGCCCCTTCCCTTCTGCTCCCCAGCTCCATGGACGGCTCCCTTCCAACTCCTCCAGCTCTAGCTGGACTTCAGCTTTGGCTCTTCCTCTTGCTAAAGGTCTGACTTGAGTAGCACTGGTTTCCTGGGAGAAGGGATCCAGCCCTCCTGCCTCCTGCCTCCATGTTTGACTCTCACTTCTGAGGGCTAGACATTCACTCTTGTGTTTCTGGATGATAGGGACCTTCCGGGGTCCTGATGGAGGGGTAGAGGCAAGCAGGGTGGCGGAGGACCATTCAGGGATTGGCTGAGTCCCAACCAATCCAGAGGACATTTATGGCAAAGCATGATTGTATGTATGAATGGCTGCACTAGTGTGAACTGGTAAACCTCAGCCGGACTGGTGGAGCTGCAGTATGTAGTATCCCAGAAAAACCAGTTCTAGTCCTTGGAAATCTTCAGGACCTCTTCCCAGCCAGCCTCATCTCTCTAAGTCCTGGCTTCCTTTATGGCAGCCAGAGGCTCCAGACAGCTGGTGCCGACAGAGCTCTGAACCCCAGTGTCTGATTAATGACAAGTAGGCTCCAGTGAAACTCCAGTGAGCAACAGCTCTAGACAATTAATTAGAAGGCTTGTCACAGGGCACTGGTCACTCTCTAAGCCACTGCTGATTCCCTGTCAGGGTCCAGTCCTGGGCCAGGTGGAGAGCACTAGAAGGGAAGACACTGTGCTTCTGAAGGGCTTCCACTCTGGTGGGAGAGATCAATGTCCAGGCCATGGTGATCAGCTTTGTGACAGGGTGGTAAGAGGGACACCTGGGAGCCCAGGGGACAGAGATGGGAAAGCCTGAGATCCCAGTGGGTGAATGACAGTAATAGGAGCTGCTATTTAGTGACCATTGTTACTCTAGCCACCATTGTTCCAATTCTTCTGCCTCATTTAATCCTCTACATAATCCTAAAAAGGGAGATATCCAAGGCTACCCTCAAGTGAATAATGGACCAGGATGGTACTCCAGGTCTATCTGACTTGGAGCTTCTACTATTCCTCCCACCCCACTGCCCACACATGCAGACAGCCACTAAGAGCAGTAGGTTCAAATCAAGACTCTGTAATCAGTTCCTCTCCCGAGCCTCAGCTTTGTATCTGGAAAAAAAAAAAGTGGGGGCAGGGAGGGAAGATTGTGATGCCTGCTTTCAGAAGCTGTTGGGATGCTTAGAAATGCTGCATGCAAGTCAGACACTGGTGGCTCACACCTGTAATCCTGTCTACTCAGGATGCTGAAATCTGAGGATTGGGGTTTGAATACAGCTCAGGTAGGAAAGTGAGTGAAACTCTTATCTCCAATTAACTAGCAAAAAGCCAGAAGTAGAGATGCAGGTCTAGTGGTAGAGTGCCAGCCTTGAGTAAAAAAAAAGACAGGGTCTGGGAAGGTGGCTCAGTGGTAGAGCGCTTGCCTTGCATGCACGAGGCCCTGGGTTCGATTCCTCAGCACTACATAAGCAAAAAGAAAAAAGCCGGAAGTGGCGCTGTGGCTCAAGTGGTAGAGCGCTAGCCTTGAGCTGAAGAGCTGAAGAGCTGAGGGACAGCGCCCAGGCCCAGAGTTCAGGCCCCACGACCGGACCCCCCTTCCCCCCCGCAAAAAAAAGACAGAGTCCAAGTCCTGTTTAAACACCAGTATAGGCACGCACGCGCGCACACACACACACATCAAAAAAGAAAAAAGGAAAGAAAATAAATTCTGCATGCAGAACCTAGCACCCAGCAGCTGCCTGATAAAAGTAGATAATATTCTTGCTCCAAGCAAAGACTGTAAATGCTGGGAAATCTGAGAGGACCCTCTAGAGCTATTTGATTGTGGCAGAATTAGACACCCCGAGGAGTCCAGTGGTGACGGGTCAGAGGTGGGCAGTTTGTGAGGCATCTTGGTCTTTAAACAGGAGTCTCTGCCACCTGTCAGACAATGTACTACTGGGCAGTAGCTCAATGTCCAAAGTGCTTTTCTGAATGGTGGGATTAGGAACAATCCTACAGAGATACAATTTATTCCCACAAGGTTCCAGGTAGCAGATTGCATCCTGACCCACCCTGGGTCTGAGAAGGGCTCGCTTGGAAAGCATGGAGTAAACTGAGCCCCAAGGAGGAGTGGGAGGCAGCAGAAGGAGCGTGGGGCAGCATCCAGAAGGAGCGGATGCATGGCAGGCCTGGAGGGGGCCTGTGTGTGACGGAACGAGGGGGCGGCCTGCTGGGCCGGGGACATGGCAGTGGAGATTTGTGTTTGGGAAGAGCTTTCAGAAGCAGCAAAGGGACAGACCACAGAAGGAGAAAGAGGCCAGAAAAGAGCAGCACAGAGGCATAAGCCAGACTGGAGAGTATATGCCATGGAGAAATAAGGATGGCTTCCTGGAGGAGACACCAATCTGTAAAAGCTGAAGATCGAGGTGACCAGTCTGGTCATCTGGGGCACAAGGAACTCAGTCCATCCCATAGGCTAAGCACTTCATGTTATGTACATTTAGTACAAAAACCCACCTTCACTTTGCCTGGGGAGCAGGAGGCAGCTGCCACCTTCAGCCAAGCAGAGCCCAGGCTGTCCCTGAGCAGGCAGGTGTGCATTTGCATTTCATTTGCATAATCTCCACCCCCCAGAGACTGCAAACCAGTCTTGCTCCCCCTGCCAGACAAAGGGGTACTGCAGTCTAGTGCCCCCTGTTGACTGAGTGCAATGCCCTCCAGAGTTTGGTGTTCCTGAGCACTGACATGAACTTGGCACTGACCCCCAAACCTGCATCCCACAGTTCTAGGCCCTTTGTTTGGGCCTCGATGTCCTCCAACATTACCCTCAACTTTTGGCTCCCTCTAGTTTTCAGGCTGTGTTGCCTTTGTTTCTGCCACAGACGAGGCCAGCAATTCCTTTCCACCAGCTCATCCAAGACCCCCAGAGAGTGCTTGGGTGTTTTCAGGGGTGGGGGGCCGGGGGGGAGGAAGGGGTCATGGAGTTTCTCTCATTCGCTGCCATCCCCTTTCTCCCACCCCTAGGCCATTTACAAGATGGTTTCCTCTGTGATGAAGATGCCAGAGGACGAGTCAACCCCTGAGAAGAGAACTGAGAAAATCTTCCGCCAAATGGACACGAACAATGATGGTGAGAGAGTGGGGGTGGGATGAAGCACCCCTCCTTCCCTCTCCTGCCCCCAGGGTGGTGTCTGCATGACCTCCATCCCTCTCCTGCCCCCCCAGGGTGGTGTCCTGTACCCCTCCTTCCCTCTGCTGGCCCCAGGGTGGTGACCCATACCCCCCTTCCCCATCATCATTGTTTCCCTCCATTCTGCAGGCAAGCTGTCCCTTGAGGAGTTCATCCGTGGGGCCAAAAGCGACCCCTCCATCGTCCGCCTGCTGCAGTGTGACCCCAGCAGTGCTTCCCAGTTCTGAGTGACAGGAGCCAGGCCCTCCACCCCGCCTTCACCGGCCTTGCCGGCTCTCAGCTTCCTCTCCTTTGTGTCTATCCAGGCTGGGGGCCAGACAGGACTCCCTTCTGGGCCTGCACCTTTGGGTGGGGGCCTCTGGCAAAGGAAACCCTGAAAGCAAGGGGCCCAAGCAAGCACGTGGCCAGCATCCTACAAGCCTAGAGGTGGTGTCTGCCCTGCCCTTCCCCAGACAGCCACAGCCCTGGGATGCCCACCTCACCAGAGGGAAGGCTCCCCCTTGTAGATCTCAGCCTGGGTGGAGGTGGGACTCCCTCTCAGGAGAGAAAGATTGCAAGGCTGTGGGGCTTTGAGGAAGAAACACCCTTGAATCCCTTTCCTGCAGGAGAGCCCTAGCCTTTCCTGCCTTGACACAAATGGAAAACCTTCCAGGATTCCAGCTGCCAGCTGTGGGTCCATGAACCCTGCCTGCCTTTTAGCACTTGGATGATCCCTGCCAGTCTCACAGAACACCAACCCACTGCTTTGTATTTTGCCTCACTACCTTCACACACACACACACACACACACACACACACACACACGGGCAGAGCCCTCCACAGCATTCTGAGTGGGAAAGAAGTGCAGGCCCCTGGCCGAGCCCCTGTCCCCCCCTGCATGCAGCCAGATGGAGCATATCTCTGTTCTTTTTAATAACTTCAGAATAAAGTCTCGTTTCAGTGCAGTGGGCTGGGTGGCTGGGAAAGGAGTTTGAAAATCTCTCCTGGGTGCCCAGGGATCCATTGAACCCGCTTTGGCCAGCTCCAAGAGCCCTAGGCCTGCCTGGGCCTCCATGTCCACCTGGGCACTGATCATTGTTGCTGATTGGTTGTAGGGCGCAGTGGCCAGGGGCTGGGCAGTATGACGATCCTCAGAGGGTGAGTGGCACCAAGCTGGTACAGCTCAGCAGGTCATGGCTGTCCACAGGCTCTGGGCTCTCCTGTATCTGCAGAGACACAAGAACCCACTGAGCCCACTGGGTTACTCCAGGGATGGGGTGGCAGAAAGAGCTGGGGCAGGGCAAAGGGGCATCACCACCCCCTATGCAAATGCCAGGCCAGATCCTTGGAGTCTCCTCCATTCAAACTGGAAGCTTCCCTAAAGACTCATTCTGGGCCTTGGGAGAGCCAGGTGTCAGCTGTATCTTAGTGGGAAGATCTGACCTCTCTGGTCCTCCAAGCCTCTCCTTTTGATCCCGAGGAGAAAACTTTTGCCCTATTTCTCAAGGTTGGGACCCCAAACGGGGGTATAGAAGACAAGCCTGGGTTCCCCAGCTACAGCTGGCAGGAAACATGGGGAGTCAGGCTCTGGAGGGGACTTACTGCGGGGTGGCTGCTTTTCCCCCACCAGGGCCTCAGTTCCAGCAGCTGGTGCATGAGCTGGGCAGAGCGCACAGCAAACACACTCTCCGTCACGCAGAACACTAGGGAGGTGGCCCAGAGGCACAGGCTGGAGCTCTGCAGGACACGGGAGGCAGAGATGACTGCCTGAGGTTGGGGGAGTCGAGGAGCAGCCTCCAACAGCCCTGCCCACTGCTGTTAGGGGTCTGGGTACCACCCATATCAGGCCAAGGCACTTACATAAATGCGTGTGGGGTCAAAGGGACAGTCAGGCGTGAGCACCAGCAGTTCAGCGTTCCCAAAGGTACAGGCAGCCAGTAATGCCCGGCCTTGGGTGGCAAAGGTCACAGCAATTGAGGCCAAGAGGCCAAGGGCACAGGTCACAGAGAAAAAAGCACAGGCCACACTTGAGCTAAACACTGCCCAGCGCTGGAAGGGCAAAGATCACTGGTCAGTGACATCAGGCATGGCCCCCAAGGCAACATTGGCTTCCCTGATGGTCAGCTGGGTCCTTAGGGCCACCGCTGCTTCTCCCCACAGCCCCATCCCAGGAAATGCCACATACCAGGGTGTGGCTCGGGAGGTATCGGGACAGCACTGCAGCTGCAATGCCCGTGGTGATGACCTGTGGGAGGACTCAAGTCAGCATGATCCCAGTGCAGGTAGCAGGGAGGGGAGCAGGTGCAGGTCTGGACCACACCCGTGCCCTGCCCCCAACCCCCATCTTCTGCTTGGCTTTGGTTTCATTATCTCCATCTTCACACAGGAATGGCTCCTTCATGCTCCAGCTCTACAGTGATTTTTTTTTTTGGGGGGGTGGAGGGGTTGGTCATGAGGCTTGAACTCTGGGCCTGGGCGCTGTCCCTGAGCTCTTCAGTTCAAGGCGAGTGCTCTGCCACTTGAGCCACAGTGCCACTTCCAGTTTTCGGGTGGTTTTTGGTGATAAGAGTCTCATGGACTTTCCTGCCCGGGCTGGCTTTGAGCTGAGATCTTCAGGTCTCAGCCTCCTGAGTAGCTAGGATTACAGGCGTGAGCCACCAGTGCCCGGCTACAGTGATGGTTTGAAAACCACTCTCTGCCTACAACCTTCTATGACACCCTATTGACTACAAGGCTGAGTCTCAAAGAGGGACCTGCAGATCTCAGGCCTGCAGATGCATGCCAAGGAAGTGTGTGAAGCCACAGGGTACATGTGATGGGAGAAGATTTGGGGAGAAATGAGGTAACACAACTGGCAAGGGACTAAAATTAAAATTATGATAAAATGAATCAGGACCCTTTATAAAGTAGAATGTAAAAGCCGGAGGAAGTGACGTGGCTCCACCCCCATCAGCTCAGGTCCACTCCGTGCCATGGCCCTCCATCACTGCCCTGCATGTGGGCATTGCAAGCAGCTGCTCTAGAAACTGCCTGCCCAGTACCCTCTCGCTGGGAGCTCCCTTCTGCTCTTCTGCTGTGGGCCCGCCCTTCTGCAGGCTTCCTACCTACCCCAAAGGCAGTCCCAAATGGTCACTTCCCTGTAACCACTTGGGACCACGGAGCTTGAACAAATGGCTTTACTTCCACTGTGCAACCTCTACTCAACTCACTGCCTCAACCTCTCTGGGCTAAGCTCCACTCGGCAGCTGGAAGTCAGGAAGGACAATGGTTTCAGGGTCAGACCTGAAATGGATTCAAATCTGGCTTGGCTTTTTTGAATCATGCACCTCGAGTCTTCCGTTCCTCCTTCGTAATACAGAGACTGGGAGCAGTGAGCATTAACTGGGTAAATGAAGGCAAAGGTGAACTGGTCCAGCTCCAGTGCCCATCCCGGTAGCCTTGCTAAACCCTGGGCCCTGCCTTCCTCATGCAGCTGCTGAGAATAGACTCCCAAGGACACAGCACCTAGCAGCAAATGCCCCCTGTCCACAGAGCCTCTCCTGCTTGCAGGGGCCAGGTTCACCACGCCTGGAAGCCAGCCGGCTGGCTGAGCTTTCCAGTGCAACCAGGCTTCAAGAAGGAGCCATCCCTCAGCCAGGGAGGCGAAAAGGATAGTGCTGACTCTGAACGCAGATGATTCCCCAGTGGTGCAGTGGCCTCTGCTGACAGCCAGGCAAGAGCCACTTCATACGTGCAGTTATCAGACAGGGCATAACGTGGCCAACTAGGTATCAAGTAGTTGCTGTAGACCAGGTCTAAAGCTAACGCTCCCACCAAGTTGTTTTTCTCAGTGTTGGCAGAACATCAGTCCCACCTCCACACACAGCATGGCTAGAGTCTGTACACGGAACGCCATCCCAGCTTCCTTTGCTGCCTGCTAGACCTAGCATGCCACATACCTGGGTTATAATTGCAACCCACCTGTGAACTCCTACTCATCCATCAATACCCAACGAGGAAGCCTCCACCTCTGTAAAATGCTGACGTTCCTTCTGTCCCACAGTGCCTTGACTATGTATGGTAATAATCCTCACAGTGGTGCACTCTAATCATGTGTACTGTGCTAAGTAAGCACTTGATGTGGGTGATCTTAGTACTTGCCAAGACCCTCTGAGGTAGACACTCTTACCATTTCATTTTGTAGCTAGGAAACCAAGGCAAAGAGAGTCTGAGTGACTGGTAAATGGTGTTGTGCTTGGTTTCTTGCTTACCCACCCAGACTCTTCTAGAGGAAACCTATTAAAGACCTTCCTCCTTCCTTCCTTCCTTCTCTCCTTCCCTCCCTTTCTCCTCTTCCACCTTCTTTTTTTTTCTTCTTCTTTCTCCCCCCCCAACCCCTGCACCCCATTCAGGTATTGGAGTTGCACTCAGAATCTCACAATCTTAGCCTTTTCACTCAAGGCTGGTGCTCTATCACTTGAGCTACACCTCCACTTCCAGCTTTTTGCTGGTATTAACTGGAGATAAGTCTCACAGATTTTATCTGCCCAGGCTGGCTTCCAACAGAGATCCTCATGTCTCAGCCTCCTGTGTAGCTAGGATTGCAGGTATGAGCCACCAGCACTGAACAACATGAAAGATCTTTCAAACCCTTCCCTCCTGCTAGCTACCCTCCCAGCCCACCCATACCACAATGGCAGAAGTGACAGAGAGGATGTTGACCACGCAGTACTGCAGAGCCACAGCGTCTCGTGGGGCTGTCACGTAGCGCAGCACAGTGCCGTGCAGCACAGCCGCTGTGAGGAAGCTCATGTGGCCCAGGACCACCAGCACCAGGCCTGTCTTCATCAGCATCTTCTGGAAGCCATCCACACTCAGGCCACCTGTTTGAGACAGCAGGTCAGGGCCATGGTGAGGATCGTCCTGAAGCCTCGGAGGGATGACCTTTGAGTTCTAAATCTATGGGTGGAGCCTTGGTTTCCTCATCTGTAAAAGGGCTTCACAATTCCTTTTGTGAGAGTTCTTGAAGCTAAATGGTTAGGGAAGCACAGTACTGGGGCTTGAACTTGGGTGCTTTTTCACTCAAGGTTGGTGTTCTACCACTGAAGCCACAGCTCCACTTCCAGCTTTGGGGTGGCTAATTGGAGATAAAAGTCTCACAGATTTTCCTGCCCAGGCTGGCTTCAAACAGGGACCTCACATCTCAGCCTTCTGAGTAGCAGGCATAAGCCACAAGCCAGGCAAGGGGAAGGAATCTTGTTAGTGCTTTAGCTCAGTATTCTCTGGAAGTACTGGGATAAGCAAGGTCTTAGTTCAGGGAGCACTGGGAGGGGTGAGGCTGGAACCAAAGGCAAGTCCTCTCTGAGTGGCTTTGGAGCTTCCCACCCTGTGGTCACATCCCAGCATCTGGACCCTCTCCTTGGGCAGCTCTGGCTCTTCCTAAGTTGTTCTCTGCAATGGCGCCCAGAGTCCCTGGCTCTACCTTGGAGGTGACACACCATGCTGACCCTCTGGCCCTGGGGGTCCTCTTTCTCTAGCAGCTCTATAAGACTACAGGAAATGAGGTCAGGCCTCAGAATTGTGGTTACACCCTTTCTTGTTAGGGGCCCCCGATGGGACCTGACTTGGAGTTCCTTCCTAGATCTCCATCTCCTTATCGCTGGCAAAGGAGATAGATCCTATTTTATATATGGGCGCTCCACAGCTGAATAAACACAAGAAAAAGCCGGGCAAAGCTATCACCACACTGCCTGTGCTGAACCCTGGGCCAGAGGTAATTCAGGGGGCAGGGAGGCTGGAGTCCATTCAATATCAGCTTCCTGCAGGCCTGCATCCGGTTCCTATGTTCTCTGGGCCCCAGATTTTTCCCTGAATAAAAGGGCGCAGGCCTGGTTTAGCTGGTTTCTAAGTCCCCCTACAGCCTGCAGGGTGGGGGACCAGGACTGGGATCAGTAGTAGACTGTAGACGGGCAGGACAGGCACGTGGAACTGGAATAGCTTCCCGAAGGTGAGCGTCTGGCCAGACAGGAAGAGGAAGGGCAGCTTTGTGACCCACCTCACCCCATCCACCCACCCACCTACCCTGGGCTCCGGGCTGGGCTCCACAACACCAGCATCCTGGGACCAGGGCTTCGGTAGAACAGGGCAGTGCCAGCCTAGGCTGTTCCGAGAGAGGGGCTGGCGAGCTTTATAAAGAAAGCCTGGCTTTATTTCTAAGCACTGTGGGAGCATTTGGCACGGCGGCTGGCACTAAGCTAAATTCGTGCGCATGGCAGTCCCCATGCTCCACAGAAGGAAACTGAGGCTCAGGAGGTGTCTCTGCTAAGGAGTGGAGACTTTCCAGGGCCGTGGGACGCCCGACGGCTGCAGCCCAGTGCCCAGGCTGGGGAGGGGCGCGCCGGTCCGGCCGCCGCCCCGGTGGACGGGACCCCTGCCCTCCCGGCCTGGGGGGAAGGGAGGGGCGGAGTCGCGGCCCTGGATCCGGGCCCCTCGGAGCTCCGGGCAGGTGGCGAGGGGGCTGCTCTCTATCCCGCACCTGGAGGCTCTCTGGGCGGTGAACGCGGGGGACAGCGGCCTAGGCACCGCGAGCCGCCCCGAGAAGACCCTCAGCAGCTCCGTCCCGCTGCCGGGGAAACTGAGGCCCGGACGCCGACGTCACCTGCCCCAGGCCACCAAGTGTGCGGTGGGGTTTCTGCCCCGTCCTGCGCCCCCGTCCCGCACGCGGCCCGGGGCCTCCCGCGCGCCCCCGCCCCGCGCCCCCGTCCCGCACGCGGCCCGGGGCCTCCCGCGCGCCCCCGCCCCGCGCCCCCGTCCCGCACGCGGCCCGGGGCCTCCCGCGCGCCCCGCGCTCACCGACGCGCAGACACATGTCGCTCCCGCGCCGGTCGCCGCGGCCGGCCGCCGTCAGCGGGGCTCCCGAGGCTGCGGGCCGCCGGGCGGCCCCGTTCCCATCCCGCGCGCCCCGCCGAGCCGCGTCGCACCCACTTCCCGCCGGGGCGGGCTCCGCGCACCGGCCGGCCTCCCTTCCCGGCACCCCCTGGGCCGCCCAGCCCGGACGCCCCGAGGTGTGTCCCCGCCGGCCGGTCGGACCGGCTCGGCAGCCCTGGGCCCGCGGGGCTGAGTCCCCGCCCCCGCCACGCCCCCGGGCCCCACTTACGGGGCGCGGAGCCGCCCCGCCCCGCCGCGGGGATGCCTGTCCGCTGGGGGGAAACTGAGGCCCAGAGAGGCGCCCCCCCCTACCCCCGCGATCGTCCTAGGCCGTGAGCATGGCCGCAGGGACCAGGTGAGCAGCAGACAGCATACTCCCCCAGGGTGAAGGCTGGGAATAGAGTGGCCCAGGGTGGAGTAAGAGCATTGCCTGGGGACCAGGTCTGATTGACCTGCGGTGAGACCTCAGGCTAATGACTTTCCCTCTCTGGGCCTTCATTTTACTGCGGAGAGTGGAGGTGGGGGAGGGAGGGCGGAGTGAGCCCGGGTCTGAGTCTAGCCTTCCCAGGTGAGTAAGGTCTTGGAAAACCAAGAATAATCCCTATCTAAGAAGGCCACGGTGAAATCAAATGAGATGTTAAAATAAGAGAAAGAAATGTCGTAGCCTGGCACCCCAGCCTGCCATTCGAGCAACTCAGGACGTTGAGATCTGACGTTCGTGATTTCAAGCCAGTGTGTGCAGCAAAATCTCTGTGAGGCTTATCTCCAATTAACCACCAAAAAGCTGAAAGTGGAGCTGTGTGGCTCAAGTCTTAGAGCACCAACTTTGAGTTAAAAACAAACAAACAAACAAACAAAACTCAGGGGTAGCACCCAGGCCCGGAGTTCAAGCCCCAGGACTGGCAAAAAGAAGCAAGCAAACAAACAAACAAGAAAGAAAGAAAGCATGCCTTAGAAACTCTCTAGCACGTCTATCTGTGGACCAAGTGTAGGCCCAGCAGCACTCACAGTAAGAGCACAACCAGTCCTGGTTTTCAGTTACTGAATCTTGGCTGCGGATTACTTAAAGTGCCAGGGTGGGCCAAACAGTCCCTTGCTTCATCTGCAGTGTCCCTGCTGCAGTAGAGATCTCGTTATTGTCCTTTGGGTTGTCAGGGCTGGTCACTCACCAGGATTGCTTCCATGGAGGCAGTGAGTTAATGGGAGCCTAGATTCCCCACCCAGGTCAGTGCTCAAGCTCCCTATCCTGGCCATGTTGAGACCATCTCCTTGGACTTCCTAGATCTTTGGAGCAGGCCTGTGGGGCCCACTTACCGCCCTCTTCCTAGGTGACCTGTGTTCCCAGTCTGCATCCAGCTCCTCACTGATCTTGGTGGCAGGTGTAACTTCTGGGGCTTTGGAAATGGCACCGAGAGGGTGTGGAGCCCTTAATTCTGGGAAGCCCTAGGTGTCAGCGGTTTACCTCAAAGCACAGTTAGGCAGACCATCTGGTAGACCCTCAGCACCTGGACTTCTTTGCCATCTGCTTTCTAGGGGACAATGTGCAGTGGTCAAGGATGGAAATACTGACTTGTCAAGAGAAGGGAAGATGGAAGGATGTATTCACCATACTGCTAACACCTGACTGGCATTCAAATAGCAGTATCCACAGAGAAGTTCTAGTATTCACCTGGATGTACTTTTTTCCACCTTGCAAATGGCCACGCATCTGTAATTAGGGTCCAGCAGCTCCATTTCCTACACAGCAGACTGCAAAGAAATTTGCTGCTGTTTAGGGTCAGGCCCAGGGTTCCTAGCAGAAGCCAGTGGCATCAGTGAGAACCAAGATGTGGGGGGCCTGGAGGAAGGTAAGGGACAGATGTCACACTCTATTTTTGGAGGCTTACAGTTAACATTTATTCATGATTTGTTTAAAAGAAAGAGTCCCTTAGACCTGTACCAGTGGTTCGTGCCTGTTAATCCTAGCCAGTCAGAAGGCTGATATCTGAGGGATCTGGGCCAGAATGTCTATGGGGTTTTCATCTCTAATAAACTAGCAAAAAAGCTAGAAGTGGAGATGTGGCTCAAGTGTTAGAGCATTAGCTGTGAGTGCAAAAAAAATTAAGGGGTAGGTAGAGCCTAGGCTGTTGAGTTCAACTCCAGTACCACCATTAAAATAGAGGAGGGGGGGAGAGAGAGAGAGAGAGAGAGAGAGAGAGAGAGAGAGAGAGAGAGAGAGAGAACATGAACACAAAGGAAGGAAGGAAGGAAGAAAGCCCACTGTAACAGCTTCTGGATACAAAGCTATCTCCCACTATAAGGTCTGAGGTCAAATCTCAGGTGTGTGAGTGCACATGGTGGCTTCTCTGTCAGTAATCGTGGGCAGTAGCCTTGACACTGAGCAACTGAACCTGGCTGGAGCTTTCTGGAATCCAATGGGGAGCAAACCTTTTAGATGTTTGCTTTCAGATACATAGATGGTGATGCTCTTTTTAATTGTGGGACAATTCCAATAGTTAAAGATAATCACACCATTTTACAGATGAGAGAATTAAGGTCCTTAGAAAGGTAAAGGACTTTTCCAAGATTGCACAGCATAGAGCTAAGACTTGAATTCAAGTCTGTCTGACAGTGAAGGCAGTTCCTGACTTTTTTTTTTTTAATGCCAGTGCTGAAGCTTGAACTCAGAGCCTGGACACTGTCTGTGAGATTTTGTGCTCAAGGCTAGTGCTCTACCACTTGAGCTGCACCTCTGCTTTTGTTTTTTCCTGATTAATTGTAGATAAGAGTCTCATGGACTTTTCTGCCCGGGCTGGCTTTGAAGAGTGATTCTCAGATCACGGCCCCCTGAGTAGCTAGGATTACAGGCATGAGCCATCCGGGCCCTGTTAGATCCTAACTTCTGAGTGTGCATGTCGCAGGATGTGGAGATCGGTAGGCACCTCTTTTCCTTATTGCCATGTGGCCAAAGTCCACCAGTCCCAGCCACTGGATGCCGCCCTTTGCCTCTGTTCCCTCCACCTTTTCTCACACTGCCCTGAGATTCTTTTAGCTGCAGTTGGCTTGTCCTCCACCTCCTCACTGGGACATTCTGGCAGCTAGTTTGCTGCCATTCACTCCCCTGGCTTTGGTTTTCCTGTCTGTGGAAAGAGGTGAATGACTTGCTTTCCAGGCCCTTAAAGTTCCTGTGCATTTGACTTGGGAGGTGAGAAAGGGGGCTGAAACCCTGGAACATTTAACAACCAGGTGTGGCCAAGGAATCTTTCCAGGGTGCGGCATCCCATTGGTGGTGTGCCAGTGGGTAGGGGGGTTCAGGCTTTAGTGTCTCTGAAACCTCTCTTTAATTTCAAAAAGTCCCCAGCAACCATTTTAAGAAGAGTTCCTCAAGTAAATAAAGCACTACTGCACTATATATATACATATATATGTATATATATACACATATATATGTATATATGTGTGTATATATATATATAATCCTAGTATTGAGGCTTGAACTCAGGACATGAATGTTATTCCTTAGCTTTTTCCAGTCAAAGCTACAGCTCTACCAGTTGAGCCACACCTCCACTTCCAGCTTGTTGGTAACTTGAGATAAAAGTCTCACAAACTTTTCTACCCAGGCTGGCTTAGAACTGTGAGCCTTAGATCTCAGCCTTCTGAGTAGCTAGGATTATAGGCATGAGGCACTGATGCTTAGCATTGGTGGGTTTTTGTTTTTTTTTTTTTTTGCTTTTGTTTTTTAAGAAAATATATTTAGCCGGGTGCCCATGGCTCACACTTGTAATCCTAGCTACTCAGGAGGCTGAGATCTGAGGATCACAATTCAAAGCCAGCCTGTGCAGGAAAGTCTGTAAGACTCTAACCTCCAATTAACCATCAGAAAACCGCAAGTGGTGCTGTGGCTCAAGTGGTAGAACCAGGTAGTGCCCAGGCCCAGAGTTCAAGCCCCGTGACCAACAAGGAAAAAAAAATATATATATAATATATGCTATTTCAAATTGTGAATGGTATAAATAGAATATTTGTTATTTTTCTTTTGCACATGAAGCTATGCAAAATTCATTGTTCTTTTTTTTTTTTGGGTCCGGTCATGGGGCCTGAACTCTGGGCCTGGGCACTGTCCCTCAGCTCTTCAGCTCAAGGCTAGCGCTCTACCACTTGAGCCACAGCACCACTTCCGGCTTTTTTTCTTTTTGCATATGTGGTGCTGAGGAATTGAACCCAGGGCCTCATGCATGCAAGGCAAGCACTCTACCACTGAGCCACTTTCCCAGCCCGCAAAATTCATTGTTCTATGTTCCTATATGTATACGATGTTCTTCAACTACATTCATCATCATTTACTATCTCCATTCTCCCCACTCCTACTGACATCCCCCAACACAGCCTGCTTTACTCTTCTGTCATTCTTTTGTTGTTGTTGTTGTTTTTTGTTTTTTGTTTTGTCTGGTCATGGGGCCTGAACTCTGGGCCTGGGCGCTGTCCCTCAGCTCTTCAGCTCAAGGCTAGCACTCTACCACTTGAGCCACAGTGCCACTTCCAGCTTTTTTTTTTCTGCTTATGTGGTGCTGAGGAATCGAACCCAGGGCCTCATGCATGCAAGGCAAGCGCTCTACCACTGACCCACCTTCCCAGCCCTCTTCTGTCATGCTTTTAATATGATTTCAGACTTCATATTGAGAATAACTTTCACAAATTGTGTTGAGTTTTGGTATAATATCAAAAGAAAATATACAAATTTTCTAAAAAGGCTTTTTAAAATAAACCTCCCCTTAATAGTTATACATGTGTGCTTAATTTTCTTCACATACTTTAAGCAAAACACTGTGTCTCAAAAGACTGCATAAGTAAGCATATATATATATATACATATATATATGTAATTTTTAAAATTTTTATTTATTTTTTTATCGGTCATGGGGATTGAACTCTGGGCCTGGGCACTGTTCCTGTGCAATTCAGCTCAAGGCAAGCAATCTACCACTTGAGCCACAGCCGTACTTCCGGTTTTCTAGTGGTTTATTGGAGATAAGAGTCTCACAGGCTTTGAACTGTGATCCTCAGATCTCAGACTCTTGAGTAGCTAGGATT